AATCTTAGAAAGCCCCTGGTCCTGCTGGCGGAGACACTGTGAATGTAACGTATGAAGCTGCACCTTTAACCCACAAAGCATGACGACAGCGGGGAGACGCAAGCTGATGAAACCCCCACCTCCTTTACTCCTCGTGGACGCTTGTAATCTGTTCTGGTTTTATAAACACCAAGATAACCTCAGCTGCAATAAAATCTAACGAACACGACCAACGCGACATCTGCAAGCTTTACTGTTTTTATTGCGTTTGGCTCACAAAACACAGCTTTATGAAGCAAAAACAGAACCTTCAGGGTCAGTTTTTTTGTCCAGGGGAAGAAACGAACAAGTGAATAATGAATATATTTAAACCATTAAACACTGACAGCAACAATGTTTGGTGTTTAATGAGTAAAACCACATTATTAAAATATTGTTTGTTTTTTAAACTTACTGAGTATTTTACAAAAAAATAGACAAATTGTGTTTTCTGTGAAAATATAAAGATTTCTTGAAGCAGCTAACAGAGTTTTTAAAGCTAAAAAAAGAAGGACATTAGCTAAAAGACAGAAGTAGCAAAGCTAGCTAAAACCAGCAAAATGTTAGCTAAAAATAGAAAAAGTAAGTAAAATCTAAAGCAGCAAATGATTTGCTAAAAAAAGGCTARTTAAAAATCTAAAGAAAATCTAGCTTAATGTTAGCCAAATACTATAGCTTAAAGCTAAAATTACAAAAAGTCAAGCTAAGCAAATGTGTAGCTAAATATCGTAGAATGGTATCTAGAAGCTAAGAGCAGCAAAGGATTAGCTAAAGATCTAAAGGCTAGTTAAAATCAAAAGTAGCAAAAAGGTAGCTTAAAATTAGCTAAATGCTAACTAGAAGCTAAAATTAGAAATTGGCAAGCTGTAAATTAAAATAAGTGAAACAAAAGTAGCAAAACCCTAGCTAATGGTATCTAGATGCTAAAAGCAGCAAAAGTTTAGATAAAAGTAACAGGAGTAAACTAAAGTATCAAACTTCTATCTGAAAACTAACATCAACTGAATGATAAAAAGCTAAATATTATAAGAAGAAAAAGACAGAAAAGTAACATAAATCCAAAACTAAAGGAGTCCATCTTTCAGCAGAGGGTTACTGTAACATGCAGGATGCTGCAGCTTCTTTCATGGAAAATTCATGAAGGTGAGGTGATGGCCTGCTGAAATGTTCACAGGTGAGACTCAGCTGGTGCAGAAGAACAAAGATATCTGGATGGAAAAGTCATGTTGGGTCTCCAYTGGAGGGCAGCAGAGGGAATTTGGATTAAAATGGCTCAGAGACGCTGCTCAGGTCCACACAGGTGTTGCTTTACCAAAACTGAGAAAACTCTGCTAAAATTCACTTATCAAAGAGAGATGTCCATTAATACTGGTGTTTGTTTCTCTAAAAGCTTTAATAAATAAGAATGGTATTTTGATGTGAAATTTAAAAAGTAAATAAACTGGTTTTTTACATGCTTGCTTAATTATGTTGCTACTGTGTGACTTAAGGCCGAGACCTGGAAAGTGAAAAACCTCCTCAGGCAGCACAGCCCATTAATAGAGAGGGACCACAGTGTTAAGAAGGCTTTGCCCTTTGMGGCCGAAGCTCCGCCTCCTTATCATAAATAATTAATCAGCCCTGCATGCCTATTGGCTACTTTCTTTAATCTGACGGGCTGTCAAAATGCCTCGAGGAGATTGAAACACGAAACAGAGTGATTATCCTTTTACAATAAAAGCATCGAAATTATGGCAATGTTTTATCTTATTCTTAAATGTAACCTGATATTAGTCAGAATGATGCACTGATCCCCACAACTTTATGATTAACTCAGTATTTAACCAATGTACATGTTTTTATTACAAACGCTCTTTTTAAAAATCTACTAAATGACTAATAGCTTTCAGCTACAACTTCACTGATTTTAACTTTCATTTTAGCTTTTAGATACTATTTTGCTGGTTTAGCTAATACTTCGTTTTAGCTTTTTCACTGTTCTGCTCAATTGAGCGTTTGTTTAAAATTTTTCATTTTGCTTATTTTTTTCAACAAGTTCCAGAAATCATCGTTCATTTACACATATAATGTAGTTTTATTTTGAAAGGTCCAAGCGGATGTGACTTTCTTGTGCTCGTGCTAACTTTCTGGTGGAAGTTGGACAGCTTTAGTGCCTCAACTCACAACAAACCCTCTGAGGTTGAAGGCTGGCCCATCGCAGCCGCTTCTTCTCCTCCTCCGCTTGTTTTCTGGGAGTCCCTCCGTCCCGCTCCCACCCCCCGGTCTCTCCGCAGTCACGGCGGGAGTGGGTGTGTCGATCCGAGGCAGCAGTTGCTTGCTGCTTGTGCGCACTCTGAAAAACGAGGAAAAAAGTTGGTGATGAGTTTTGAGTGAGCGGCCCGCCTCGGAGCAGGCTAACAACACTCCAAGAATGGCAGTTTGGACTAGAGCGGATAAAAATGGTCAACTGGATCTTCTGCTCCGGGACCGCTGGATCCGAGTAGCCGCCGAGCTCACGCGAGAAACGCTGACTTTAACGGCCGAAGCGGAGGCAACCGGACAGGGGAGCAATCACTGGGACTACTCTTCGGCTGGCTTGCGAAATGGCATGTCGAACGGAAATGACCCGGGAGTGGGTTTGGGGAGCCCTGGTCGCAGTCCGTCGTTGGGTCAAGATCAACTTCAGAACCATGGAGTTAGGGGGCGAAGTAGCAGTCCAGGTCGAGGAGGCGTCAATCGGGGTCAGTACGATGGCAACTACGGTATGAACAGCTCTGGAAAGTACCCGATTAACGGCACAAACTCTGACTTCGGTAGCCCCGGTTCCAGCTACGGTAGTCCTGGGTCAAGCTTCGGGTCGAGGCAAGGCGACTTCCCCGTCAGCCTGGATGGCTCCTCCGAAGCTGTGCGGAAAGTCCGAGTAGTGAAACAGGAGTCTGGCGGGCTGGGGATCAGTATAAAGGGTGGGCGCGAGAACCGGATGCCCATCCTCATCTCCAAGATCTTTCCCGGGCTCGCCGCAGATCAGAGTCGGGCTCTCCGGGTGGGCGACGCGATCCTATCGGTAAACGGGAACGACCTCCGGGAGGCAACGCACGACATGGCGGTGCAGGCGCTTAAGAAGGCCGGGAAAGAAGTGACGCTGGAGGGTAAGTTGGCCAACGCGAGAGCGGGGATTTGAAAAGGCCGAGATTAGACTCCCGGAGTCTGATCTGACCACACACCCATGTGAGCTGAACTTTTTCTTATTATTCCAGAGGTGCTGGCATTAATTCCACTTCAGTAAGATATAAAAAGTATCAATATATGTATATTAGTGTTGAACATTTAAAATCATCTAACTAAAATATAAAGTTTCAAATCAAACTCAACAAATTACTATTTAGAAATATTATCAACTGGTTCCTTTTAATTTTTGTATCTCCCTCGACCAAAAGGCCGGTGATAGTGTTCTTTCTCTTTATTCCCCCCTTTCAAAGTGTGTTAGTGTCTGTTAGCAAAATATCTCACAAATTACTCCACTAAGTTTAATGAAACTAATCTAATAAACAGTATTTATTAGATGTACAACTAACTAACCTTTGGGGTCAACCTTATTCAAAATGGCTGTCACAGTCAGCTGAACTAAAAAGAAAACACAACAATTGCAAAAATTTAGTCAATTTTACATAGTAGATAGTGAGATTGTGTTTGGTGTGTTTTTACCTGCAACTGATCCCCATTACATATTCTGAACACAAAAATTGCACAAAATCTGCTTAAGATTTTGGAAATAACTTGCAGTTAACTCTGTCAGTTAGCAAAATATTTCATGAACTGCTTAATGCAGTGGTTCCCAAAGTTGGGGGTCGGACTCAGGACAGTGGGGTCCCGAAACATCAAGGTGAGGTCCTGAAAAGATTGTCTGAATTAATTACACTAAAAATTACAACTAACAACTATTTTTTGCTTTTGTTGTTACAAAAGAGTAAATTTAGTGTACCTAAAATGGACAAAAAGAGAGTAATAAATGTTGTTACTTTGCACCGTTTACTTGAAGTGAAAACAATGTTTATCGACCAACAACAGCTGTGGTCACAGGTCTCTGCTGCTGGTATTTTGTGGGTCAAAAGCTGAAAAGTTTGGGAACCACTGGCTTAATAAATCTTTTGGGAAATAATCATTAGCTCGGTATCTACAACCTATTAACTTTTGGAGTTTATCAATTGACATTAGAAACAAAACAGCTTTAGTTCTGCTGGTTTTATAGAAATTGTGTTAAAATGCGGTGATGTACATTCACAGCACATACTCCAAGAGTTACTCATTACATAAGAGCTTTTCTTAAACTTTTTCAAACAGCTGTTGAAATCATTCATGTTTGTCAGTTAGCAAGAACACTCATGTACCACTTTAATCTCTTAATAACTGATTAATTATTAGATGTACAACTGATTAACGTTTGGAGTTAAAGACGACYACCACAACTTATCCTCGTTAGTCGACAGAAAATGGCTAAACCTGGTCAATTTCTCATTTATTAAGCCTGGTGTGGTAGTAGCTGAGAGTCCTTTRCAACACATAGTYTGAGCGAGACACATTGTGATATCACAAGATCGTATGTGATGCAGTTTTCGAGGTTTGACCAAAAGAGCTACAACTCAATCATCTATCAACATAAGCTAATAAATGCGGCGGGTGATATGCATTTCTTTGGTGAATGCTGAGCTTTTTTTATTTGTTTATTTTTTTACAGAATGTTGTGATTCTGTTCAGTGTGTCTTTAACTTTCCAAACTCTCCGTTGTTTACCTAACACGCTAAAGGCAGAGACCTGGACGTAGCCTATCCTGTGTTGATCTATGACCAAAAGGGCTTAAATCAAATCAAGTGAACACAAAGCCTTTGATTAGTGTAAACAGGAACATAACCACAGATGTGGTCAGGGCTAGTTACATTACAGTTTGTACATTTGAAAGATTGRCTTGCTTAAGATAAGCAGCCACTGTAAACACAAACAAGATTTATTTTCATGTTTATCTACTTTTGATGTCCTTCGAGAGTAACAATAACAAAAAGATGTCTCTTTATTTTGAAATTATTTAAACAATTGCAGGTTATATAGRTTCCAAAGTACATTTCATGTCCATATGACATGAAGTAATCTATACAAAGAAAATGTTTTTGCAATATTATCTGTTATACATGTTGCAGGAGTCTGGAAAATAACTGCATTAATCATGTGAGTTTAGAGCAGTGTTTCCCAAAGTTGGGGTCGGGACCCAAATTGGGGTCCCGAAACATCAAGGTGGGGTCCTGAAAAGATTTTCTGAATTCCATTTTTGCCTTAGTTGTTAAAGGAGTGAGGTTAGTATATTTAAAATGGATAAATGTAGTATAAAAA